GTGGGGGTGAGGGTGGCCATGGGGATGAGGGTGTGGGTGAGGATGAGGATGTGGATGAGGGAGCGCATGAGGGTGGGCATGAGGATGTGGGTGATGGTGATGGCTCTGGTCGCCAACAATTGCAGCATCCATGTTGTCAGGATTCCTCTGTTGAAAAACACAAACACATGCAATGATATAGTACTAAAACGAACCAACATCATCAAAATTGACTTCATTGTGAGAGTATGACAAACCTGAGAGCTAGGATGAGGGTGGTAGTGCTGACCCCGAACGACCGCGGGAGCCATGGGCTGCGAGGGGCCGTACAACCCTGGCTGGGTGGGCGCCATGAAGGGGCCTGCACCGTAGGCCCCATGGTACGGCTGGGGGAGGGAGTGGGGGGGTCCTGGGGGGTAGGCGTGGGGGTATATGGGGGGGCCGTGGTGGTGCTGGCTGGGGTGTGCGTGGGGGTGTTGGTGTGGGTGTTGATGAGGGTGCGGGTGCTGGTGAGGGTGCTGGTGGGGGTGTGGATGAGGGTGGGCATGGGGATGGGCGTGGGGGTGAGGAGCGTGGTGGGGGCCTTGGTGAAGGTTGTGGAGATGGCTGGGCGGTGGTGGATGGTGGTGGTGGTGACTGTAGTGGATGTGTTGGTGACTCACAGGGTTGCTGAACTGTGTCACCTGTAAACAAAACGGAAACTTAATTTATGGTGTGTCAGTACACAAAAGTAGAGAGCACCCTAAATTTATAGGACAAGAAGTACCTGACACGATGGAGGGAATGGAGGCGGTGAGTAAAGTCCAGCAGGCAAATGTGGAGGAGAAGACCCTGTCCCGAACACTGGCACAGGTACAGGCATGGGAGGGCCAACCTGCAAGACAACAGAGCTGTCTACTAAGCATGCATGGTACTGTGATGTTCCAATTCCCACACTTGGCGTGGTCCTAGGGTAACAAATAGAGAAGAATTTTTTTTTTAAATGACACACACCGTTGCAACTTCAACAACAATTGCAGGCTGATGGCTTGGGTGAGTGGGCACTGAAGAAGTTGTCGGCACATAGTTTCCATGAGCTGGTGGAGGAGCTGAGTGGGGTGTGGCAGTAAAATTGTCCTGAGTCCACCCAGATCCGGACTCGCGAAAGCGATTTCTACGAATAGGAGGGCTGGAAAGTTAAAAGTTCAAATTTTACTTATTATGTTATTTTCAAATTAATTCATTTAAAAAAAATATGGTACAAGGTAACCATTTAAATTTGACAAAAATTAACTTGACTTCTTTAAATATTAATATTCTCACCTTCCTCGCCCCCTTGCAGCAGAAGTCAAACGAGGAGACCTTCTTGGAGGCGGCTGATTACCATTTGTTCCATATTCCCAGGTATTTACGCGGGCATGAGGGGGGGAGGGAGGGTTTGGCACTGACATCTCCACTATTTGGCTGTGAGACAAACGCCTTCTCTTTGGAGTAGGACTGTCACTCTGGAAGCAAAATAGCAACACACATTAATCCACAACTAGAATTCAAAATCCACTTCCATGCATTTACTGCAATCAGGTAACATGAAGGCTTTCCCTAGTTCTCAGAACCCACCACCACAGCTTCACACTCTCTAAATACACTACGATTTGGACAATTCTAATTCTAAATCATGATCTACACAGGACAAACACTGACATCACAGATAGATATCCCCAAACAGAAACTAAAATCCATGGACAGAAAATTTAAGGAACACTTTATCTGCTTCCCAACTACATGGAAATTCCATAGCAATTATCTACTACCATTCCATGTGTTTCATTGAAACAATTCAAAGATCTTACTTTTTGGTCATCATCTGTTTCATCATTATGGCAAAAAATTGTAGAAGAAAGGTTTGGACTTAACCTCAATTCTGTGGGAGAGACAAACAATAAAAGAGTCACAAAATCAACTGAGGGGGGAAAAAAACAATCCGATGATTTAATGTGACCATGAGTTGCCAGAAGCAACTAACCAGAATTTAAACAGGGTGAGAATCTTGATTGACGTGGCATATGTGTTTCCACAGTTGATGTTGAAGCTAAGTTCTCAGGAGGAAAGATGGACCTTACAAAAGAGCCCTCCTGAAATTGAATGTTATTTAAAAAGCGCTAAATTATAAGTGTAAATGTGCTTAAGACGACTCACCTGAGTACAATTATTTATCTGCTGAGGAGGCAAGCTTCTTCGCAGTTCCTGAGAATCTACATTCTGGCCATTTCCAGCAGCACCAGCTGGTGCAAGACTCTGCTTCGGAAAATCCTGACTTAAATATGCAGAATCCTTTGGGGACAAACTGCTTCCCGCGTTAGGAGAGCAATCCCTGTTACAATTCATTGAAAAATAGAATATTAACAAGTATTAAAGAAAGAAAATATATAGCAAAGAAAACACAAATAAAAAAACAAACCCTGGTGCGAAGCCCTGATGAAAATCCTTGGACCGGTGAGCTCGATTCCCTTGCCATTTTGAACGGCTACTACCATGGCCGCTGTGACTACCCGAGTGCCGATAAGACCCAGATCCCCTCACAGCGCTACTCCGACTACTTGAACTCATGGCTGAAAGAGGACGTATCATAAATAAAAAATCTTTATGTTAAAAAATATCATAGTTGAGAGGCATTTTAAAACAGCACCAAAAACAGAAATCGTCAGAGGGTCCCAATATCTCATAAAAGGCAATCATGAAAAGTGACTTGGTTGTGAAGTTTGAAAAGACAAATATAGAATACAATTATATCAAGGTCTAAAAAATATAAAATCCTGCATTTAAATGTCAACAATTCAGCTCTGCCAAGGCCGACAACTTTTCAAATCATACCAGGGCTGAAAACAGTGTTGTTGTGCACACACAAATGCTACTTGGAGAGTTTTAAATTAAGATATACAGACATTTACTCTGGGATTTGATGTTACCAAAAAGTGTCTGTTAAGTCAAAACATTTATTGAAAAAGAAAGAATACAAGATGGCAAGAGAACCACAACCCTGTGGCCTTGGGGGATTGCTGTGACTTTTACAATGCTGCTAGATGGCCTCAGTAGAGACTTGATAGAGGTTAAATACGACATTTCGAAACAAGACCAAAGTATATTTACAGCTGTAAAGTATGGGGAAAATGTGCTACTCATGACAGGGCGACAGCCTAACCAATAAATACCTCGCCTAGCTAGGGCTCTTCTCCAAAACTTTGCGCAAAAGCGTCTGCTGCATCGCAAGGCCGATACTCTATTGCAGAAGATACGGGCCTGCTAGTAAACTTATGTTAAAAGAAAACTCGAGGTAGGCCGTCTTGCAAAAAAAAATCTGACTTGGAACTACACCCTCTCTTGTATAGGATAGCCCACACTGGTGGCATGGAAGAAACTCATAACTCTCCTGACTACATAGCACAAAATGTGGTATTTCCAGTGGATGGGGACGTACATGGTCACACGGGGAGCTGGGGACGACAATCTTCTCCGCCTTCACGTCGCACCAGGCTCTCACAGGGTGCAGGTGCGGGCAGCCATCGCACGGGATGCAAGTCCTATGATGTCTTTCATTGTTTTTCTTTCTCTCTGTTTTCACACAGCTGTCGCCCTCGCACTCATGAGAAAAGTTTCCCCAGGCATGTTATCGCCAAGACAGCCAACATTCGACGGGAATGCAGCGCCCGGGGGGAAAAGGGCTGGGCTCACTTTAACGAGGGAATGCAAATCAGTCTGACACGGCCGACATGCATGTTGCAGTGCGGACACCCTCGCGAGCCCCCGATGGGCCGAGCAGACCAAAATTACCCATCACTTTCATTTCACCAAAGTTACACACGAAAAACAATCATTTACGGGCGACCCCCTCCCTGAATGACGGAATGACGAAACAGGCTCCGACCAATCACAGCAGACCTACTCCGTCTCGTACTACGTAATAGTTTTCCAGCGATTCCCTTTTCCGAAATCCGGTCTGAAAATATAATCGCATCTACATTAAAAAATCATAAAGCACTCGAATAATATTAAGATTTGTGGTAAGACGATGCCTTACAATTAATAGTGTAAGTTCGTGATCGAGATAAACACTCTCAACTGCTCGCGTAGTGGCACGTGACGCAGAGCCGCGCTGTGATTGGCCGATGGGAAGTGTTTACTCGATTTCACTCGGAATGACGTCGTAACTTGTCTGTTCGTTGCAGAGCTGCCAGGTTTGGCGATTTGTCGCCAAATTGGCGATTTTAGGTCGGGTTTGGCGACTTTAAAAGACGGCCTGGCGCCAGGCGATTTTTTTGGCGATTCGTGTTTTGGCCTGGCGATTTTTGGCGACTGAGCTCCAAGTTTGGCGATCCTGGGCGACTCGGGCTACCTGACCCCACGGAAGCGAGGATTACGAAGGGATTGAGTACTTTCCCGGCCCGGGGGAGATGAATTTCTAAGAAATGGGCCTAGCAGCTCGCTACATTGTCACATTTGCTGACTCTTGGGTGCTACCCGAGTTCAATTTTACCTTGCCTCTTTTTTGGCTATCCCACTAAAAGGTTGGCGATTTTTGGCGATTTGAATCTGTGGCGGGCGATTTTTGGCGACTAGGGCGGCTGGCGACGATTGGCGATTCGAGCGCCCTCTTCTGGCGACTTGACTCACTCCGGACCTGGCAGCCCTGGTTCGTTGTTGTTCGTTGGTTGTTGTGTGTGAGTGAAGGTGAAGAGAGGACGCGACGCAGAGGCGAGGCTGGCGAGTCCGCTATGAAACAATACCTGAACTACTGATATTTGGATCAGGATCGTCTTGAAGAAGCTGCAGTTGCCGTGCCCCTGACGGAGAGACTGTCGGGAAGTTGCCCTCGCCTGCCTGTGTGTGATGCCGAGGACTGCAAGTCCCGAACTCAGACTTAGAGAAACTGGGACGGTCGCCATTTTGGATGTGTATAATCTGGTGAGGCCAGCTCGGCAGCTGTTACATCCGTGGACTGCTTGCTGTTAGCTGAGTTGTGGAAAGTTGTCGAAGTTAACTCCGGGGCTGTCGGAACTGTGCAAACATATCATCGGAGAACCCCGAGTGCGAAGCGTGTGGCGCGAGGGACTTGTGACGTAGCCTTGTCTGGAAGGTGAAGGTGTCATGGGCGAGAAAGGAGCAGAGAGGCACAGGAGTTCCAACGGCACGGTCTACGCCAAAAAAGGCCATGTCCGTGTTATTAAGAACTCCAACCTAGGACAAGGGCAAGCTGGTTGCAGAAGTATGGCGTCGTCGCCAACGAAATCTTGTTCCAGTCCTGAGTCCTTTGTTGCTAGTGGGTCGGTGAAGAAGGGCAAGAGGTCACACGACTTCTCACCTCTGTCTGTCTCACCCACGGCAAGGAATAGTGCCTTTTGGGGAAGCATGTCTCCCAAAAACATTACTCCTCGCTCTTCGCCCTCCCTGGGATGCAACTACGCTGGGGCCAAGTTTAGTGAGCCTCCATCGCCAGACACCCTGCCGAAGCCCCCAACACATTGGAACATGACACAACTTTCCCCAAGAAACAAGGATCAGTACCTGGAGATCTCTCAGCAGCTGATGATGCTTTTGAAGGTGCAAGCGTGATATTTAAATTCATACTTTCAAATTTCTGTGTACTTTACTTTGGTCTCATGATTGTTTTAAGTGCAAGCTGTTAAAATTTCTTATCTCATATCAAATTGATTTTATTTACTGTATTACGTGCATCACCAGCAGATATTGATTGTGATTTTGTTTGTAATAGAATGTCATTGTTGAGAACTCAGAATGAGTCGACTGTTATCATAGGCTAGTAGGGCATAGGTGATTGACTTCTGAAGTATTGCCCTTGTGATATGTGATAGTCAGTGATCGAGCCCAACGTTCTCATTGATTTGGCTACTTAACTTTATAGGGACTTTATGTCCCCTTCCTCATGTTTGCCTGTACAAGGCTTGGCACAATTTTTTGCAATCATTTTAATCATTGAATGCTCACAACGTTAAAGGAAACTTCATTTTCATTATTTGTCTAAAGCAATAACAGCATGATTTTGTTTTAGTTCTAAGGCCCTTTTAACTTACTTCATAAATTTTCTTTTAGCCCCTGTGTTTTGACAAAGAATCAAATTTTAAACAATAATTTTATCAGGTCTTTTTGTTTGTTTTCTGAATCCTACTATTACCAATAGATGTAGCTTCCATCAAATGTTCTTACCATGTGAATACCAAAATTATTAGTCCGCGAGGCCTAAATCAGCATCCGTAACTACTAAGACCTAGTTATTAATTTGTTTAATGTCCATTGTGAACTTTATCTCATAATCTTCATGTTTGTGAGTTTAATAGAGTCCCATCAGTTCTGTGATGCAAGTTGCTACCAATCACTTGTCTTGCCCATCATGTTCCTAACATCTAAAGCTAAGCATCATCAAGACCCAAAATTTATAACATTACAAGAAACAGTGTGGACTTGACTATTGACTGAATGCGTTCATGTTCTGATGTTTTTGTATCATTATTATATTTAACAGGACAAATGGTTGGTAGAGGCAGTAGGCTGCTCAACTGTTGCTTTCTCTGTTTGCACACCTCTGAAGTTTTAAGTTGTTAATGAAGTTTCAATAGTCTATTTGTATGGTAGAATAGAATAGGTTTTAGTGGTTTGATTTTAAGATGGAGAGTACTCATACTTCAGGCATCAATTGGGATTGAGGTTTAGGTCATATAAATGGACCAACCAAGTTGGTTTCCAGCATGTTATTTTTGAAAAAATGTAATGCTTTATCGCTGATGATACTAATGATCTCCACATTCTACAGACTCTCAATTCAAATTTTTGAAAAATCATCAAATGAACATTTATTTATGTTTATGATGTGGAAATGGCCTAAATCTCAGTCCTGCGACTATTTACTATCATTTGTCATGTCCTGTTTATTTTTTTAACTGATTCAAATGTGATGTGAATAAAGTGTTATATATATTTGATGCTGGGAGTATGAAGACCTCTCGCATAAGTGGTACACTTGCTTGTTAGTGCCCAGGCAATGCCAGGACTCATGAAGTGGTTTGCAATTGGGCAGAGGAGTGGATTCTCATATTCATAAGACATATGATGGTGGAGTGACCTTAATGGTCATGTGCTCAATTGTGGTTATAAAAGCTTTAGACTAGTTTTCTTATTGGATGTGGCCTAGTGAGGAAGTGTATGCCTTATGTTTACTTGTAATAATTTTTCAGCTGTCTCTGGTGGCCAAAGTCCATGTTCTTGTGCCAATCGTCCATCTTTTTATTAAGCATGGCCCGAAATATGTGGCTTAAAATTTTTTCTGTTGATTTTTTTTTTTTAGTTAGAAAATGTGATATAACAAAATCCCATTCCCAGTTGAAATTTTAAGATAGACTTCAAGTCACCAGATGGCATGCTACGTGGTTATAAAATGTGTCTTTAATGTTAGTGTTTCATTGATGTCTGAAAAGTGACCTAGAGAGCCTGACAAAAGAATTTTGTTTAAGAATCTAGTCAAGGTGATTTTTCTATTGTGACATGTATAAATGATATAATGTGTAAATGCTTATTTTTTTTAAAAAGAAGTGCCTGTGATGATATTTGGTAATCACTTGTAAACTTGTGTATGAGTGTATTGTTGGAGAACTCTCAACCTTCCTGTATGTCCTGTGAGAAGTATGCAATGGTGCTCAGTCATGTTGATCCATATCTCATTGATGTGATTCAAATGTGATAATTATTTTATAACATTCATCTGTCATCACCTCAACATTTAAAATTGTGTGTTTGGTTTGTCATGTGCTGTTAAGTTGTCAAAACCCAACTTGAAAAAAAAAAAAGAAAAAAAAAAGACTACTCTCAAACAGGAGAGAGAAAAAAAATGAAAGAAAAATGCAAGTTGTGGTTTATGTGCTAATGTTCATGAGTATTACACAGCCTGTCAAGTATTGTGAACGTTTTGTGTGTTTGGGGATTCCATTTCATGTGGAAGCACAACTTCCAAGTGTTTCCACGGCAAGTTTACAAGTGTACTATCCAAGTGAAGGACCAAGTGAAACACTAACTCAACTGACTATGCCACAGTACAAATGATGAAGCTGTATCAGCTTCCTCCAACAATAAAGGGAGACTTTTGCTGTGCCTTTGGCACTTAAAGAGAAATGCTGTCTTCCATGACTGAATTGTTGCCATGTGCAATAGGATTAAGTTACTTTGTATAAAGAGTTCTTTTGTACATCCAATTATCAGACCATTGTGAATTTACTGGTAATGTCAACCTTTCCTTGCTTCAACCAGTATTTCTTTGATCTCCACAATGTCCCCATTTTTATCATTACTGTACCAAATTATTGCATTTCTCAAGCATGTTCAGTTCAGTGTCAAGATGTTGATCATATTTTATTTCTAACCAGTTTTGTTTCTTCTATATCATGCCAATGTATCAAAAAAATTGATGTTTGATTTTGTTTGGTTCTATTATTTAAAGAGTTCTGTAATTTTTTCCTGTGTTCTAATCATATTGTGATCTGCTTCTTATTGTGTTATCATAATTTCATCTTTTGTTACTGTATTTTCAATGACACTGAAATCGATCGAGATGACTTTGTTTTGATCCATATTGTACAAAAAGTGTATGTATGATATTCTATTTTATGTTCATGTCTCATCATCCTTCATCTATCATCTCATGTATCATCCTTCATCCCTCATCTCATTGTTGTAAATCGCTCATCTCATTTCTTCTCACTTCATCACCTTCCCATCCTTCCCCTTCACTCCCTTCCCCATCCCACCTCCTTCCCTTCCCTTTCCCCGGGCCCTTTTTAGGGCCCACCAAATTATTCTGCAAAAGAATAACCCCAACAAAGACAAATCTGCTTCCTTCGGGATGCAACCACTAATTTCAAACTTTAATTCCAGGTTGAGTGTACTGCAGTAAGTTGATAAAGAAAATCCTTACAAATAGACTAGTGAGACACTACATATCCATTTATCTGGGAAATAATTACTGATCTGAAACATTATTTGAGGAAAGAATGTGAGAAAATGAGGCTGTTTCTCAAACTAGGATTTTATCTTTGTAGTGATAAAGTCTCTCTCAAAACATCCTTAATCCTAAAATTGCTGCTCCATATGGAAAATTATGTGATGCAATATGTGATGTAGTTCCTATATTTCTTGTAGGGTTCAATTAATCAGTGTAGGATATAGGAGAATCTAAATCAAAATAGTACACATCGGTATGCAATGATCTAGATTTAATATAACATTACCTTCTCTCAAACATGCCCAAGTCTCCCCTCACACTACAAAAACAGATCTTCGAGATATTCCTCAAATTCTTCTTCACGTGCTTTCTCTTCATCGGGTCTCCCTGTTTCCTTCCAAATTCTTGACATTTCACTTTCAGTCTTTTCTTCTGTACTCTCACTGTCATCAGAGGTCTTTGTTGAGCTGGTGGGCTGCTGTCTTTCATCTTTCCCTTTCCTTTTCTCCGTCTGCTGTTTCCTTTTTCCTGTCTTCTTTTTCTGGATGCGTTTAACTTCTCGTTTCTTTGAGCCATGATTCAGTTTTGATGAGCATTCAGGGCAGAGTCCTTAAATTGGAAAGTAATATGGAACTTAAAAGCAGGACTGGCTCAATAAATACATACAGGATAGTACTTGTATGATACTTACGAAGCTTGACCAGTGCATTCTTTTTCTCTCCTTGTTCTTGATAAGCAAAATTGATCTCCCATGTTTTTAAACCATCACGATTAGAGCAATGCTTTTCGCCACATGTGAATTGTCCTCTACCAGAAATAAGTTCAGGTTCTGTCCGCCATCTCATAGCAACCTGCAACCATTAAATTGCCATTCGTGAGGAGAGGAGTAACAGTCATAATAGTATTTTAAGTGTGTTTACTACACAATTGTTAAAGCTTATCTGGAGGGACAGAAATATCTAATCTAGAAAGAAATGGTTAGTAGGATATGTAAGAAACCACTGAAATAAGACATCTGTCACCTTGTTGGATTTGAACATTGTTAAATCACAGATGCAATATTCTTTAAATAACTTGTCATGATATTTTTTAGCAAGCTGTGCTTCCCAAGTGTCTGGATGATCAGCTTCATCCCACAGAAAACGATGGTTGTCACGTAAAACATCATAATCAGTTTTATCTCTGGAACTGAATGCAGAAAATTAAAGTGTGAAGGGTGTCAACAAGTAAGAGCAAAATCTATATGTTACGAATATGAAAAACCTACTTACGTATCCCTTTGTAAAAGAGAGGTAGCACCTTTCCGACATAGATAATAATCGTTTATTAAACGTTTGTGGAGCTCATATGGTGCCATAGTAGAAAAAAGTAATCGAGCAGAGGGACTTGTAATCGCTGCACTGTTTGGCTGCATAAGTTGTAAGGAGTGTCGACCTGGAAAAGGTTAAATTGTTGAGAATCCCTGCCGTTTGGCTCCTTAAAAAGAGAATAGAAAAAATCCTTTAAAGCATCATACTGGGTTCTGTCGTTTCCATTGCTTTAAATACTGATTCCATCTTGTATGACTTTAGAGCAGAAAAGTAGTATTTAAAGATTATGATGCACGTATTTGCTTTGTTTCTGGCTGTATGGATTTTTTAAACTTTTGAATCATTACAAAACAAAAGGGTCTAACATCCTAATATCATTGGCATAAAACTAAGTGTTGTTCATTCAATAAACACCCCCAATACCAAACAAATAACCTATGAATAAAAACAAATAACAAGAAGCACATGAATTTCATGAAATTCTCATTTTGTAAATTTATATGCGATGAAATTCTCATAATGTATGAAAACAAAGGAAAGCGCGGCTTGTCTGCTCATTTCAGCGGGAAACCACAACAACAAACGACGTACTCTTCAAAATACGTGTCGATGTGTTGGATTTCATTGTTTTTGTAAGTTTTGACATTTATGTAACCCGATTCTTTCGTCTGTTAGCTCTTTGCTCAACAATAACGAATCCTTCATTTATTTTGCCATTGTATTCAGCGTTTAACCTCCATTACCTAATGTATTATATTTTTGATGCAATCACGTTGTGAAAGCAATAACCTCGTATCCTATTTACAAAGTACACTTGTTGAACTATTATTTACGATTAAAGAAGTTTCTTTTCCTATATTTTAGTCAACATACACTTGTTTCAATACTTTGCAGGTTTGTGCACTCGTCATTTCCAGCTCATCAAGATGCCAGAAATAATGATAAGAAATGTCCCTGTGCATTTCCCATTTGAGCCATATGATGTTCAACGCGCATACATGGAGAAGGTCATAGACTGTCTTCAATCGGTACGTCTTTGAGTGTTTCTACCTTTGAACTATATAACCCACCTATTTTTAAAATATATTTTAATAATTTATCGGTGTTCATAGGGTGCTCACGGTATGCTTGAGTCACCAACAGGAACCGGTAAAACACTGAGCTTGCTTTGCTCTACTCTGGCATGGCTATCACTGAAGAAGGCTCAAGTGCAAGCCATGAGAATGACTAAGGATGAAAGTGCATTCTTAGATGAATTGAAAGACAGTCTTTCTAGTGCTGCAGGCAGTGCCCCACCAAATCAATCTACGTCCTGGGGGGGTAAGTGAACTTTCCTTAGATTTCATTCTTTTTAAATCTTTTTATATTTTGGTGATATTGACCTCTATACAGGAAGACTTGGTCCGAAAATTATTTACTCCTCCCGTACTCACTCTCAGCTGTCACAAGCTGTACAAGAACTGAAGCGCACTAATTATGCTCATGTAAAAATGGCCATAATTGGCTCCAGGGATCAGTTGTGTACGCACCCTGATGTTTCTAAAGAAGAAAATACCTCAGTGAAGGTAAGTTTGGGTGAATGAAGAGTGTTGACTTGTTAAAATCTCTAGCAATACAATTTTTATTCTTTAATCCACTTTAGATTTCTATGTGCCAAGCATTAGTCAAAGGTCGTGCTTGTTATTTGCATCGTAATATTGAAAGAAAAAAAGATGACCATGCATTTACTGATGCTGGTGTAATGGACATAGAGGACCTTATTAAAGTCAGTGAAAAACTAAAAGTGTGTCCCTACTTCATGTCACGGGAGCTGAAGCAGTCAGCTGATATTATTTTTATGCCATACAATTATTTGTTAGATCCCCGTACTCGCCGGCAGCAAGATGTTGATATAGCTGTGAGTTTTCACTTTATTTTATTTAATTTGTATTATGACAATCTTATTTTCAGTTTAAAATAATATTCTACATTCTCCTCTTTTAGAACAGTATTGTAATTCTAGATGAGGGTCACAATGTGGAGAAAATATGTGAAGAGTCTGCCTCTTATAGTCTCACCAGCACAGAAGTTGCTATGTGCATAACTGAAATCACAGAGGTATACATATTTATCTGTTGAAGAGTATTGAATATTGTTTTCAACCATTACAGGAAAGTAATCCATCTTTATTTACATTGTGTAGGTCATGAAAATCTTTGCTGAGAATCCTGTTATGGATTTTGGTGATCCTGATTCAGATAAAAAGAAAGACTTCACAGAAAATGAATTAATCATGATGAAGGAAATGCTCTTGAATTTGGAGAAAGTAATTGATGACATTCCTCTTACCCAGAAAGATAAAACTGAAGCACCGTTTCCTGGAGAATACATTTTTGATCTGCTAGGCAAGGCTACAATCACTACAGAAACATATCCACTTTATTACAGTCTAGTTGAACAAATTGTCCAGTATCTCAATGCTTTGCGTGATAGCACTGATGGCCCTTTCCAAAGAACAGGAGCTAGTCTAGAAAAACTTGCTAATTTTTTTAGGACTGTTTTCTATTTTGAAAGAAAGACATATGAAGAACATGTTGGGTCAGTGCGAGAGTGTTACAAAGTTTTTGTTACTCTAGAGAAACCTAAACCCACTTTTAGAAAGAATTCATGGCTTTCAGCCACTAACAATGATACCAAACCTGGTGGAAAAGTTGTTAATTTTTGGTGTTTTAATCCTGGATATGGCATGAAAGGTCTCTTAAATCTGGGAGTTCATTCCATAATTGTAACAAGTGGTACTTTGTCACCACTTCCTCCATTAATTTCTGAACTTGGGATTCCAATCAACATTACTTTGGAAAATAAGCATGTTATCACCAAAGAACAGGTTTGTTATCTGCTATTAGTCATTTATCTAAATTTTCTACAAAAGTGTAAATTATTTATGCTGCTAATTGGTTTCAGGTTTTTGTTAGTGTGATACGAAGTGGGCCAGACAATGAGCCTCTCATATCAACATTCAAGAACAGGTGAGCGTGAAATTCATCATCTGTTCAACCTTTTCAACTCTTCATTAGTATTAAAAATCTGTATTAATCAATCAATTCCCACAGAGGTAATGATGCCTATTTGACTTCTTTGGGACGCACCATTGCCAACTTTGCAAGAATTATTCCAGAGGGTCTTTTAGTGTTTTTCCCTTCATACACTGTCCTCAATCAATGTAAAGAACACTGGGAACAATCTGGTATTTGGAATCAGATATTTTCTCAGAAGGTATTTTACGCTTAGGTTTTTGTTAATGATTATTATATACAGGTTCAGGTATTATTGTGAGTATGAATTTGTTTTACACTTTTTTCCTCCCTTTCTTGAACAATGTAGGAAATTTTTGTTGAGCCCCAAGGCAAAAGGCAATTGAAAGAAGTCATGGACAACTATTATTCTCGTATATATCAGCCCGGATCTAAAGGGGCTTGTTTCCTTGCTGTCTGTCGTGGCAAAGTATGCTAACAAGTTTTATAAAATTCCATTTTTGAATTCGAATTATTTGGCTGTGCTCATTATTTTTTTTTGTAATCTTGCAGGTTTCTGAAGGTCTGGACTTTGCCGATCAGAATGGACGTGCTGTTATCCTGACAGGCCTGCCGTACCCTCCATTCTATGACCCTAGGGTTGTCATGAAAAGAGAGTACCTTGACAAAAACAAAAAGAAGGTAGGGCAACAATTGTTTCTTCTTTCCTCAGTCATTCATGATGCAGGTATGATGGTTATAACAATTTCCATTGTTCAGGTAACAGGCCATAACTGGTACCAACTTGAAGCTACTCGAGCTGTCAATCAGGCTGTTGGAAGAGTAATCCGTCACCGTAATGATTACGGGGCTGTGTTGTTTTGTGATAGTCGTTTTGCTGATCCTCAAGTAAAACAGCAAATGTCTGCCTGGTTAAGACCTTATATTCAGACACCAAATCAGTTTGGAGCGGTCACACGTGGTCTGTGTCAATTCTTTAAAAACGCAAGAGAAACAGTAAGTGTCACGTCAGTTACAAAGACTTCCTGAACTCCCATGATGCTGGTTGATTATTTATTTTGGTCATGATTGAATTTTCCTCTCCAGCTTCCCCAACCAGCCAAAAAAGAAATGTCTGTTGCATGGGATGAGGTTTCCAATGAACCTGTAGTGAGAAAGGCAGTGTCTGCCGCCTTTGATACGACAGCAACCTGGAAGGCAAAGCCAAACAAGTCTGTAGGGAATTTCAATTGGTACAGCCAAGATAGAACACCATCCAAAAACTTACCCTCTAGTTCCGTGTCCTCTGCATCTCCTAGTACTATTTCTTCCCCGTATACCCAATCTACTAAAGTCTCTAAACAGCCCAAGAATACCATAAAAAGTATGTTTGGTGCTCTGGATCAGTCTGTTGAGGTGAGTTGCCTTTCTAACCAGTATTCTACAACCATCATTCACCCCAAAATTTTAAGAGAATAACCATGTTTCTATTTAACTTTTTCAAATTTGTAGGTAATTGATTTTAACTCTGTTGAGGCTGTGCCAGACACTCCTGTAACCAGCTCATCTGCTGACAAAACACTCTTGGATTGCACCAACCAGACCTTAAGCCCCATAAGAAATGAAAGTGCCCCGCCTGAACCCAAACGGAGGAAATTGAGGGTAATGGGTGTTCCACTCAATTTTGAGCAGGTAAGCTTTCTACCTGGCTATGACTCAAATTCGGTCTCTTCTCCATCAAGTATTGGGGAGGGAATTTCAAAAATTTCAATCTAAACTAACTTCATATTTGTCTACACATAGGCCACATCAAGTAGTGCAAGTGCCTCAGAGAGCTCTGAAGGGAATGACCGTAAAATTCAAATGATGGCCTACCTTAAACATGTGAGTATACATGAGAAGTTGCAGATTGCTGTTTTAAATTGGTTCACTATTTGTATTCCCTTTTCTTTTTTAAAGGTGAAGTCCAAGTTGACAGCAGCTCAAATGCAGGAGTTCAACTTGGCTGTTAGATCTTATTCAAGAAGCTCTGATTACCAACAGCTTATTGAAATATTAGACAGACTGTTTAGTGATTCCAGCCTATTTACTTGTTTAAAAGGTTAATCTTATTTATTATTCTACAGTATTATAGTTCTATTTTAAAAGGTTATCCCATGAATTCAATATTGTGACTCATCTGTTTTTCTTTTACAGGGTTTGATACATACATAAAATCTGCTCACAAGAGTGCCTTTGCTGATTTCTGCCAGAAAAAATTAAATTCTCAGTAGTTATAGATTTTGGGAGTTTAAAATTTTACTCAGCATTTTTTAAAAAAATTTCCCTGATTGGAACTTTGTATTTACTGAATCACCTGTAAAGATTGTCCCATTAACAGGGTAATATTGGGTTCTGCTAGTTTTCCTTGATAATGTTTTTCTTAGGTTTATTTTCTCAATTTTGTTATCTTTGAAAGATTTTGAAACATTGACATATTTTTTTAAATGATTTTTTTTTAGAAGGTTGATTGTTATTGTGAAAAGAAGAACTATTGTTTCATGTTCTTAAATAGTTGTTTCTGGCATGAATTGATCTATTTTTACTATGTGACCGGCAGGATCATCATGTGTGTGTATTGATAGCATATTTTTCACCCAGTGCAAACTGCATATAAAATATTATGAAATAATTCTGCATCTTTGTACATTTTTTTCCCCTTTCATTCATAAAACCACCCAGATATCTACACAATCAGTTGCTCATACCATGTCATTGTAATCTGAAAGACCTCTGCCGATCGGCTTGGTTGTTGGCTTAAGAGGCAGTTAACACCTTAGAGTTAAGACAAATCATTAAAAAAAATAGAAATAAAGTATAGGAGAAAAATTTTAAAATTGTTTATGCGAGGGCTTGTTGAAGTTGGGGTGACCATTGCTCTGCGTTTATACCAGATGCTTTCTGCTGACTAATTAAAATTTCAAGGTCGTGGGTAGTCCAAAATTTCGTCTCCATTTTTTT